TTTAACTTTAGGAAGGATTGGAAATTTCAAAAAATTAGTTCTAACTGATCGAATTTCTTGTTTGTTGAAATATTTTCAATAAAATGTTGTCTTAGAGGATCCAGGATACATTTTGTTAATTAAATTTTTTCTCAAAATAAGGTTATTACACTGTTTGTCAACAAAATTTAAGTCATTGATTATTATTTTTATGCAATCACGGGATTAGAGTTGAATCTAAATTATTTCTGATTATATTTATCATTGCAGTTGGAATATTTTCAACCACATTTCTATAATCCTCAGGGGTACAAACTATTTTATATTTAATACTAAATTCCTTATATTTTAATAAAACCCCTTTGTCATTTCTCAAATGAATAATGGTCCAAATTTGTTTTTACATGATCCATCCTTCCATGAATATTGATTTTCTTCTTCTGCGGTCTGCATTTTAAATCCAGACGTCACATGCAGCAATGAATTGTGGGTAATACACTTCATCGTAGTCCGCAAAAATGCGGACTTTGCGTAAGGGCAGAAATGGTACTCAAAATGGGCGGGGCAAAGGGCGTATGTGGAGAATGTGGGACACTACGCACTCAAACCCTTCAACATGAAGGGACATTTGAAGTGCACAAGAGAACGAGGGTGGGAGTGTTGGGTCAGGACCAGTGATTCTGGTGTAATTAATCACTGATGTCACAGTGTAATCAATGTTATTATGATTATTTCATCATTAAAGAACAGAACTTATAATAAAGTCGGGATTTCGTTGTATCATTAAAGGTTTTTGTTTGAACTGTTTTATGCTTGTGAAGGCGACCGGACGGTTTGTTTTTGTGCTGCAGGTCTGTTGCAGAGCAGGAGAGGCCGTTTGCTCTGGGAATGCAATTTGTTCTCCTCAGGACCCTCGGTGAGTAAAAACCAGTTTTTATCTTTTATCATGTACAGTGGTGGGCAGCGCTAATCCAAAAACTAGATCCGCAATTTCTGAAGCGCTTATGTCGTAGAAAAACTATCAGAAGCTAATTTTAAAGTGCAAGTTCAATTTGACATTTACTAGCTGGCAACAATTCATGTACAATATATGCACAACACTGCCAACTAGTGGTGTGTGAACCCTTGTACAAATTAATCTTACAACCGCCGATTGCTGAGGATGTGTTTTCATGAAACAGACCTTTGGCTCCTGGTGTAAAAATTAAAAAGTTGTTGAGGATTGCTAGTTTGGCTGCTTTTTCTTTTGTTTGTTGTAGATTTTTCATTAAAGAAGCATCAATAAAGTAATTTTAAAACTGTTTATTGGAAAACTGAAGCGATGCATTCTGGGTACATGATGGATTTGATTTGTGACGGGAAATGAAAGCACAGAGTACAGGAAACTATTTTCCCTTAAAAATAAGAGCCTGAATTTTAAAGTTTTCCATGTAGTTGCTCCAGTTGACCACTAGATGTCAGTCTTCATCAGCATAACATCTTTAAAT